AAAGCACAGTTGTCTTCTCATGGCATGGTTGTCTCCTGACAGTTTCCTTGTGTGGTAATTGAACCCTTGATTTTAGAAGATGTAATATATGTGAGACTTGGTTTGCACTGAAACCCATGGCCACAAATAGTAAGTCGGCAAATAAATAATAATGGTTGTAGCTGAGAGAGACGGCTTGTGAAGGTGAGCTTTTTAAATTACAGATCCAGGCATACACGTGTTGTCGCGGCTGGGATGCTACCCTGAAAATTAGAACGCAAATCAGCTCGCCTCTCCTTTCTGAATGCTGAACAGGAGTGACATGGCTGATCATCTTTGTGTTCCTGTGGTTCATAGAACCTAGAGTGGTTTGGGTTGAAAGGGACTGTTAAAGGCCATCTAGTTCCAACCTCCCTGCCATGGGCAGGGACACCTTCCACTGGACCAGGGTGCTCAAAGCCTCATCCAGCCTGGCCTTGAACACGTCCAGGGATGGGGCATCCACAGCTTCTCTGGGCAACCTGTGCCAGTGCCTCACCACCCTCTCCAGGAAGAACTTCTTCCCAATATCCAATCTAACCCTCCCCACTTTCAATTTAAACCCGTTACCCCTTGTCCTGTCACTACAGGCCCTTGTAAAAAGTCCCCCCCAGCTTCCTTGTAGCCCCTTCAGGTACTGGAAGGTGCTCTAAGGTCTCCCCGGAGCCTTCTCTTCTCCAGGCTGAACAAGCCCAACTCTCTCAGCCTGTCCCCACAGGAGGAGCGTTCCATTCCTCTGAATATCAAAAGGGGCTAGTGATGGTGTTCTTTGGGTTCCCTTGTGGAAGTGCTATCCTTTCCATATCCTGAAGGTAAAGTTAGTGACATTCACAAATTTCACAGTCGCTCTCTTGTCTGTATTATTTGCTTCTGAACCGAAATGAACTGTGGTCACTGAGGATCAGTGCAAAATTGTTAGCCAGAGAATTTTTTTAGTAGCGGCACATTTAGGTTTATAACTCTACCAGAAATATTTGTGTCATAAACAAAAATTTCCCTTTACGAGTGTAGAGAGGCCAGCAGTTTATCACAGTACCCTGCAGGAGTCCCTGGTTTAGCAGGGGCTGCCGGCACCAGGTATTCTTGCTGTGCTCTGAAGTGATCCTCCTTGCCTGCACCCCAAGGTGCACCTTATTTTCCACCTAGAAATTCTGTCCAGGTTCTAACTGAAAATCTGAAATGTCAGCCTTAAAATGACAAGTGGCAGCCACATTTTTAAAGGTTTTTAGGTACTTGCTGCTTCAAATAGCTGCCTACTAAGATTTCTGAGGACATTTTTGTGCTTAACCCTTATTACTTTTAGCCTCCTAAGAATTTTTTTTGAAGTCTGTGTCTTTGGGAACCTTTTGAAGTTTGTAAGGGTAAATCTGAAAGAACAGTGGAGAGTAAAATGGGACAAAATTCTAATTTGAAAACTTTGTGCTTAAACCTTTTTTTGAGATTTATCTATATACCTGCCCTTGCACTTCCAATTGATGTAATATGAAATAAGCCTGTATAGTGCAAAATACTCTGAGAATGTTTCATTTATTTTTATCACAACTGCTACACAGGAGAAAACAACTCACACCCTAGAAAAAAAAAAAAAGTAAAGCCTTGAACTACTATATTTACAGTATTGGTTTTGAAGCCTGGGAGTCAGCATCTTATGAAAGCTGTCTGAATACTTGTATCAAGTATTTAAATAATTTTTCAGTAAGAATTTAATGTGAAGTTATGCTGTAATTATAAGTCCACACATCTTTGAATTCCATATTTAAAGGCAAAGCTTGAATTTAAATGGATCTTAAAGGAGATCTTGTCTGACAAGGAGGATTCCTCTAGTGTAAAGGGATGCTGTTTTCTGTTCCTTCCTGCCTCCTAAATAACGGTGCAGAGGACACTGCCAGGCTGTGACAACATTTGGGCTTTGTTGCCCCCATTTTATTTACTAATAGAGATTTGTATTCATAATTTAGCTGATGATTCATTTGTCAGTACATAGCTGAACACTTCTAGCTCATTTGGCAGTGTGTGTGTTGGCACAGCAGTCATCGTGGAAGCAAAATGTATGTGTTTGTACTTGGATCTTGTGGCAGATGTGTAATATAAAGGAGCTACCACTTTGGCATAGGAACTTTGCTGGCTCTGCCCACATTTTACATGTTCCCCAGTAATGATCTGTGATCGTATTGATGGTTATCTGCCTTTTCAGAATGAAAATAGGACTGTTCTGCTTTCCTTTTTTTTGTTCTTGTGATGTTGCAAAGACAGTGCAGCAGGGTACAAACACTGTGGGAACAGAACTTTAGCATATACTTTCTCTCAACTGCCATATTGGTTTTGAAAACAATTTGTAACCTGTCTCCATTTGGCAACTGAAAAACAGGGGCTTGCAGCCAAGGCTTCACAACATGCAGATGACTCAATTTCTGCACAGAGTCAAATATGTTTAGATTATTCTACTTGTGTAAGTATGTAGGAGACAAAAAAGGTAAAGATAAGCGGAAATACACACTTGCTGCTTTTTTTTTTTAACTTCGAGTAAAATAACATGATCTACAGATTGGACTTTCCTGTTCATGTGCCTGTATGTTAAATATTAAGAGCTTTCTAAGTTTTGTATGTAGTTTGGCCTCAAAACAGGGTTTAACTCTTTTGTGAACTGAATTTGTTATATAAAATTCCTGCTTCTAAAAAAGAAGCAGTTTCTCTTCATTTCTCATTAATAGCGTATCTTTTTGCAGAGAAATTTCAACGAGCCTTCTTCATTTCTGCTTTTTTGTTAATAGTAAAGCTACAGCATCAAACAGTTAGCATTGGGATGCTGTGTCTCAGTTTTAGCTAGTCTTCTCCCTTTACGCAGGCAGAGGAGAAGGAATACATGAGGAAGTCTGAGGACAGAAGGGCCTGGAAGGGAGGAGAAGCAGCAGTAACTTCACTGCCGGCTTCCCTTTACCTTACACAGTTGTGGCCATGCAAACACCACACGTTAAACAAACGCACTAAAACCTGCTAAAATAAACCTTGATAATGGGCGTAGTGAGCTGTCTTTGTAAGTTAAGTTCTGGCTGTGGTTAATTAAGTAAAAATGCTGCTCCAACCATATTATCTTGGGTGCCTTATTATTAAATGAAGGGAAAACATAGGAGGAAATAAACCACTCTTGCTCCTTTACTTGCTGGAGCATCTATTTCCTCTTGCCCGTACATGTGTTGCGAGAACACCAGGCATAACAAATAGTGTTTGCATTTAGTTCTGAATACAGTGACGTCCACGCTTGCTCTTCCCTCTGTGAAAGCATGCTCCAAAGCCTGTCTGGCTGCCCAAAGAGTTCGCATTTCTGCATGTGTGATGGATAGGTTCGTTGTTGTAATGAAGCATGGCTGGTTTTGGAGGTCGCGGTCACAGAAGGAGAGAGGCAATCCATCTTTAACGAGGGGCAGTTCTGTGGAGGCCTTGAATGCCAAGGCAGAGATGTGGCGTTTCATTTTTTATTTGATGTAGAGGGCCGGTGCAGAGACAGTACCTTGTTTTACAATTTATTTTTTTTATTGCAGAGAAGCTGGGAGCTGTATCCTGTACAGACCTGAGCCATTTTAGATGTTTTGGCTTAGTTCCCAAGTGTAATGAGTGTGGAGGTTGCAAATGCATGTATTTCTATGGCCAGATCTCAGATCAGATAGGGAAATCAAACCTTGGGCCATGCACAGATGGTGTTAGACTTGCCTGTCTGAGCATCCTTAGGAATTGAGGTCTCACAGGCTGCATACTAACTAGCAGGCAGTGTCTGTAATCAAGAGGAACATTATGGCCTAGGGAAATTCCTCAGAGCAATTCCCATCAATACAGATAGTAGCTATGTATTTTAAGTACCTCTGAGGACCATGAGCTTGTGTTGGGACAGAATCTGAAGGTGGATCTTCTCATCGACCAGGCAAATTCTGTAACTTGTATTCCCTCCTTTTCCTATTCTAGACTGCTTATAGACATTTGAGGTTGGTTGTGACAAGGGTAACTGTCCATTTTCATTCAGAACAAGAAGAAGCAAATTAAGAATAACAACTTTTTTTCACTGAGCTAGTCATGGGTGGGCTACTGTACCAAGGATGTAGAGCTAAACACATTACCAGTCTCCTTACACATCTGGTTTGTTTAACACTGGTCGTATTTGAAGTGTAGAAATGAGATTTTGTTTTTGTTCTCATGGTAGATTTATTTGGTATTATAATTGATTAGCCTAAAGACTGTTTCTGAATACTGCGTATGTGGCTGATGTCTGTTTGAGGGGAACATAAAACGCTTTCTCTAAGCATGAAGAATGCTAATTATGTTTTTCCCCTTTGCTTCTATTCTTAAGCCTGTGGGAGACAGATGTTACTTAGCAAAGGGAGGGATGAACATAACTACTTCTGGGCTCAGAAGTTCAAACGTGGAACACATCTGCTGTGCTTCACTGACATTTCTGTTCTTAGATTTGTTCTTTGAACAAACTTCTCTGAAAGGTGGGAGGAATCACCAGCATTGTCAATACAGAATCAAAACTAGGAAAGAGCTGTGTGTTCACCAGAAAATTGGAACTTTGACTCAGACTTTGAAAACCAGAGTATGTTGTATAGCTGAACACAACATTCAGGAATAAAATATGTAACGTGATGCAATTTTCTTTCTTGGTCTTCCTTGTTTCATTTGTTTTTAAGGCTTTGTTTAGTTTGAACAGTTTCAATCTAAACAGGTACAGATTTAAGTATCTGAGGTAATACAAGTGCAGGGCTAGTTACAAATGTGCTTCCTTCTTCATTTGCAAAGTTTGGATGTTCACTTGTCTCTTTTCAGCCCAGTTTTTGCACTGTGTTCATCATCCTGGTATCTGAACAAACAGCACATAAACTGTTTTAGAGGAGGGGTTTGATGTACCAACATGTGGTTTATTGAGGTTAAGATTTCTTTAAAAAAAATTCTAAAAGGCAAACATTTTTGCTGTATTTTTGTTTGTCTTGCAGGTTGATCCAGCTTTGAAAGAAAAATTAAAACAGAACACTGCAACGCTGGAATCTGAATATGAGGTAAAATAAATATGTTGCTTGGGGCTCATAACCTTGGCTGCCCTTGATTACCCTGGCCGCTGGTGGGTTGTATCTGTCCCTAACTAAAATTAGATCAGCCATCTGCCTTTGACTCACTGATGTCCAATAAAAACAAGATTTTATGTAAAGAAAGGTTTTTGAACATGCAGTGCTTCTTTCTGAACACAGCTTTACTTTGATGTCCAGGTGCCAAGTACAGTGGTGCAAATAAATTCCACTGTTTCTGTGGTTAACCTAGTCTATAAATGTAGAGCTGATGTTGGCCTTAGAGGGAATGTAGATACGCATATGTCAACACTTCTGCTGCATGTGTCTTGATGATCTTTGGACCAAATTACAGAACAATGTGCTTGAAGAGCTTTCTGTTTTTTCTTTCTTCTGAAACTTATGTATATCTTTCAAATCACTGCTGTTCTCATTTCATGGTTTCAGAAGTTTTTATAAAGAAGTATTTCACT